GTCCTCAGTCCTGTCCTGTGCCTGATTCTGGGTTCAGGGCTGTAACTCCAGGCTGTGCGCAGAGCCCGCCCTGCCCCCTTCTGCCCTTTAGACTTCCTTCAGTGACGCTTTACACCACACATGCCACTGTCATTCAGTGTAGGGGCTCCTTCCCCACAATCCTGTGGACATCTCAGTGGCTAACCGTGAAGAAAGAGCAAGTGCATTTTGTTTAGGAGACACTCTTTCCCCTACATGTGGGGTGAGTTGTGTTTCCTGTTCCCACTGGGGAGACCCAAATAGAAAACTAAGGACTGAGATGAGGTAGGAGCTGCCCTGAAGAGGGGCCTCGCTCTGCCCTTGGTCAGGGAGTGGGCAGTGGTCAAGGCCCTGGTGGGCACAGGAGCCTCTGTCAGGACCCACTGGCATCTGCTCAGACACACTAAAGCTAGGCTGGGCACCAGGGGGCGCTGTGTGCATGTCACTGAGGGCTCTGGGGGCCTCAGCAAGGAACCCAGACACCTGACCCTGGGCTCTGTTCAGGGCTGAATGGAGCCAGCAGCTGTGTCCTCTTTGGGCCACTGGGGAGTCTCATGCCTGGCAGAGTCCATCCCCCCTCCCAGAAATGACACCCAGACACTGGAGCTACACATAAAGTCCAGGGAGGGCTGGGCTGAGCAGGGGAAGAACAGCACATTTGCATGCAGGGGCTGGAGGAGGGATAAGAGAGACCTGCAGTGTGTCTGCCTCAGCAGAGCTCTGGGTAGTCTGCACCATGGCCTGGGCCCCACTCCTGCTCACCCTCATCCTTCACTGCACAGGTCAGGACCATCCTCAGAACCCTGACCCTCAGTAAACTGACCTGTCCTCCCTCACCCATGGCAGGACTATCCTTCCCTCTTGTTCTTCCTCCAGGTCATAATGAGTGTCTGTGTTTGCAGGGTCCCTCTCACAGCTTGCACTGACTCAGCCGCCCTCTGCATCTGCCTCCCCGGGAGCCTCGGTCAAGCTCACCTGCACCTTGGACAGTGGGCATAGCAGCTATACCATTGCATGGCACCAGCAGCAGCCAGGGAAGGCCCCTCGGTACTTGATGTATGTTAGCAGTAATGGAAACCATAACAAGGGGGACGGGATCCCTGACCGCTTCTCGGGCTCCAGCTCTGGGGCTGACCGCTACTTAACCATCTCCAACCTCCAGTCTGAGGACGAGGCTGACTATTACTGTCAGACCTGGGGCTCTGATATTAACTCACAGTGACACAGGCAGATGAGGAAGTGGGACAAAAACCTCAGCCTGCTCAGGGTCTTGTTCTATGTTAATTTTTAAATTGTAAAATTTGTTCCATGTATTCAAACTATACTTGAAAGCACCTCTGGTTTAAAATATTATTTCTCTCAGTTTTCCATTCACTGTTCCTGAAAAGTCTGAGGAAAACTAAAACAAAAATGAAATATAAAATCTGGTAACACTAAAACATTGACTATTAATTCTAATACGCTAGAACTAGTGTCCATGTGACTGGCCTTTTTCAATTGAAATGTGGAAAATGAGCCTCTCCACACTCACATTTCTGTCAGTACCCAGGGACCATCTCAGCAGGTGGACAGTCCTACAGCATGGACTGTGCTCTTCCAGTTGTCACAGCAGAGACCTCCCCTTCCTTCCCAGTCACCTGTGCTCAGGGCTGCCTGAGGTCTCTAGTCCTAGGAACCAAGCAGTGGGATGTGAAATGCAGCTGAGGACACAGGTCAGGGAGGAATTTCAAATACAGAGCTGGCCTGGCTCACTGATGGGTTCCTGCAGCTGTATCTGTCACCTCAGGATAGAGGGTGGGTGTGGGGACAGCTAAGGGCCCAAGGTTGCAAACTTCCTTGTGGGAGGTGAGAGGGGAACGGGAGGTTCTACCTCTCCTGGGAAATGCTGAGCCTGCTCCAGAGAAGTTGGGGGATGTAGGTCCCGTGAATGAGACTCCCATGTCTCATCCCTGTCAGGAACACGGGAACCCCATGGGTAGACTTCCCTGAGCCCCCAACACTGCCTTCTGTTTGTTCCTCTCCTGCCTCATTGGGACTTATCAATAGTCCAGGATGTGACATAAGGTCTGTGGGACATCAGGGACCAGAAGTGCCCCAATGTGTGCCTCATGTCATTCTCCCTACAGAGCTCATGATGGGGATGGATCACTGGGGGTGACCATGGGCCTGCTTACCAAGAGTCCCCAGACAGAAAGACTGAGTCTGTGACCAGACAGCAGCCTTGGATGTTCTGGGGTTCATCTGGATTCTCCTTTATCACCATGACTTCCTTGACACCTTTGCCTCTAGGGAAAGGGTCCTGCTGACCACTGCTGCCATGGCTGAATACAACCCAATGCTATGAAGAGCTCCCATCCATGGGGGAATGAGACCAGGGTCTACCCTTTGTGTCCACCATCAAATCCATCCCTCATCTGTCCCTGCCTTTGACCAAAACCTACTCAGGTTTTGGCATCTGCTGTCACTTGTGCTCCCAGAAAGTCTGAGGCTCTCAACTTGCCTCATCTTCATGGAGTCAATGAGAATCACACCTCCTCTCACTGGCTCCCCAGTGCAAATAGGACATTTGTCTCCAGAGGCTATAAGAGCCACCCACATGTGTGGGGGGTATCACTGAGAATAAAAATGCAGCTTGTGTGACATGGCTACCCAGGTCCCCTCTGCCCAGTCCCCTATATGTCACCTGCATGTGTCCAAGACTTTCTAGATCATTCCCTGAGCTCTGAAGCCTTAGGGAAGCTGAGTCCTCCTTATCCTTAGAGTGTGTCCCAGAGAGGCC